CAACATTTGTATATTCAGAGATTCCGGAAGTTTTAATGAGGTAGAAGGAGGAGATGACTTTTTTAGGTTTTTAATATGAAAGTGTGTGTCAGACACACATTATGGTTGCAAGCAGACTATTTGTATATATGTATTAATTATGTCTGAAGGGAATCTATAAATACTATCAACATGTAGTGTCTTAGAATGTGGATTAAGTTACATAAAAAATACACAATACAAATACTGATTGCAACACATTTCCCCTAGCTTACCAAAAAGTACAATTTTATAGCTCAAGGCTCCTCTGTCACTCTGAGGAAGACCACACTGAGAGAGCCATTTAGATCAAACAGCAATAACTCTTATCAGTAGCAGAGGGACCTTTCCAGCAGCCGTGTGAAAACCAAGAGCCTTACAAAAAAGTGTAAAATAAGAAAAACCTTGGCCAAATCATTACAGATCATCTATAAACATGTGGCCAACCTATATAATAAATTGGTAAGAGCCAATATATTTCTTAAACAAAAGCAACCTTTTTTTTATTATTGTTTTTAGAATGAACTGAACCACCATGTTTTTACAGTAGCCCAGAATTGACAAACCAAACACTGCTTTTAGATAGGGCCTTTAACTTTTTTCACAAATTTTGCAGCCACCATTGTTTCTCCCACACACTTCAAAGCCCATTCTCATTCCCAGATCGTTACATACACGAGCGGTTATCAGTTAGTTGCAATCAACTTTACCACTAGATGCCACTAAATCCTACACACTGGTCCTTTAAATTAACTAATGCTAGCAAAATGCTAGCTAATTCGCGTCTGTTAGCTGAAATTAGCTCAGAAAGGAGAGAGAGAGCTCTCTCCTTTCTGTGTCCGTAAGTGTGCATGTGTGGCTTCCACTAGACAGGCTACTGTGAATGAAAACGCTTAAGTCGAAATCTGCTTAATTCACATGGGCTCAGGCAAACGGTAGATGGCAAATCGGATGTCATGTTAGTGAATAAGAGCAGGATGGTAAACTTAGGTGAGGCTGGCAGAGGATACCAGCAGCGGTAACAGTAGACGGCATTGCTATCCAAAGTTAAAATATTTTAACTTTTTGCTGGCCTCTGTCAGATGTTACATAGCTCAGACAAACTCTGTATGATGATTATTCATATAAAGTTTGAGCAAATGGCCTTTAAACCCGGGAAAAATGGGAGTAACCAAGGCTTGCTCAAATGTTATTGGAGCACAGAGCCATGAGGGGCAGAACTTGGGAAGGGTGAATTGCGTATTATATAAGTATTTTATCCTAAAGAATGAACTCTCAGCAGATCATAAAAATATGAGCCAAATGTGTTCAAATGAGTGTATAGCTACCACAACATTCTTGCAGTGAGGATCTATGAGTATGTACATCAGTAAAAATGTCCTCCGGCTGTGTGAAATGACCTACACTTGAACCTGTTAATCAGCTTCGGGACTCATTGATTTAGCGCTGGCAGGAGAAGCTGACGGCTGAGGCTGAGGAGGCAGGGGGGAGAGGCACATGAGAGACACGCGGAGAGGTAGAAAGAAGACCAGTATTGATTCAGTGGCAGGCAGCTCCTGACAGCTGCACTAAGCTAGCACGTCCTTCTCTCAGCCACAGTCTGCAGCTCGGCCGACAGGGAAGTGCCTAAGCAGATTAAGCTGTAAATCCCACAGATTTCCTGCCCCCCCACCATCGAATCTCACCCACCAGCAAACACACTGTCTCTCCTCCACAATTAAAAGCTTACTGAATGCAGATATGAGGATGTGGAGGAAATCTACCTAGTTGATAACTAAGTCTCAGCCCTGATGTCTTAAAGGCATCAAAAGGTGCTTTTACCCCTGTACATGTTATTTATCTATATGTCATTGTTATGTTCCATACACTTCCCTGCCATGTACATGTCCTGGAGCACATTTAGCTACAACGTTTATCATTGTTTGTTCCTGGATCTCTTATAAATCAGGACGGGAATCCCCAAAATTCCTGGATGACACAGTTCAGTGAGATTCGGTTCCAGGATTTACAAAGCAAAGGCACGTTTCTGTTGTGTTGGTTGACGATGGTTTGACATTTCTGTTGATCTCTTCCCTCCTTCCCTTGCTGTGGACCAGATGGACTCAAATTTCATTATTGTGGAGCGTACTGAAGGCAGGACATGAAGGAAAGCCAATGTGCTATTACGGATCTGAATTCAGCCCCGTTTGTTCATGCTGACTGATGTTAAGTAGTTAATGGCATTATCCATTCATGGTGGGCAAGGGCACAGCAGGGGTGGTTGCTTTTAGGTTTTTTCTTTAACGTTATGCTATTTTCCCTCAGTCTCTCTGACTGGACCAACAAATCAATAAAACGGAGGTTCTATTACTGGGAAACTATCACCACCTATGGGTTCGCCCTAACATTGTCATGGTGGGTTGTTGTATGTATCTGTCGTGTCACCTCAGTGAGCGTGCTAGCTAATTATTTAACGGACTATTGACATAAAGTTTATCCTGAGGAGTCTTCCTCAACTATTTTTGCCTCGTTTTAGGTGGCAGGGGGGAAAATCAGTCAACCCTCAAAATTTGTTGTGTTTTGTTTACCTGATGATGAAGATAGTCGGAGAACAATTAAAGGATATAGGCTCTACGGGAAGATTTTTTTTTCTATCACGTGTTTCCCAAATGATTGAAAATTTCAGTCAATTTCAGACAATCTGTTATCTCAAATGGCTTAAGAAACAGTGCATATAGTTGTTTATGTCTGGCTTCACCCCTGATAGAGTGCTAATTGGTTAGGGAAAAACAGAAGAATCTGACCCAAAATGAGATGACTCGCAAAACCTTATCTACATTTCTATTTACTCTCCGTTTTTTTTGGTGCACTCCAGAGAATGTCAGACCTATGTGAGGTTGTTTCTGTAAGTTTTCATGTTTTTTATGAAGCAGTTAAAGGAATATCAATCAAACTGCTGGTGATTTATTCATTATAAGAATAGGTTTTATCTGTTTTTGCAAAGAAACTCTTCTGTTTCCAGTAACTGACTTATTTATGATGAAACTCTTTATACGCTCTAAAACATAACTACACCTCTGTAATAAAAACAAACCAGAAACTGTTTAGAGGCAGGCTGTGGCGCAGAGGCAGAGCGGGTTGTGCCCTATCGGAAGGTTGAGCAAGATACTAAACCACAAATTGCTCCAGTTGCTGTGCATCAGCAGTTAGTTACTTAGTAACTTAGTTACTTGTGAGTTAGTTACTGTTAAATGGAGTTTCAATCAATAGAATTAATTAATAAATAAATAAAGCTTTGGAAAAAAATACAACAAACCTTGCTTTTACCTTACCTGGCTATCAGCACACTGAGATGAATGTTTTACTATGTACTGTTACACTGAAAATCAAAATGTGAAACATTGTATTTCTGCATTATGTTTTGGAAAAAAGCATTCAGATTTAAAGCCTTTGAACATCGGCTTGAATAGCTTGAAAGCCTCCTTCTGGCCAAAGCTTAGTGTGTGCTGTCTGAGTAAAGAGTGAACCAATAAATTATGTACAATACTGGAGAGGAAGTATCCCCTCTTCTCAAATAACAGCTTGAACTTTTTCGGACTCTTCTAAAAATGGTACAGTATGTAGACTTTTAAATGATAAAGGAATAAAAAATAAGACTATACAGTAATCTCTCTTTTTCTCTCTTTCTCTCTCTCTCTACTTTTGTCTGGCACATGGGGTGGAAGATGTTTTTCTCACTTTTCTCTCCCCTCCTCAACCACGGAAAAAGCAGCACGCGTCCAGCTGCAACTTGGTCCGGACACGGAGTCGTTAAATAGTTTGAAAAATGAATGTCTCAATGGCATCATTCTTGTCTGCGTCCCGTCTCTTTTTTATGTCTGCTCGTGAATGTGTGAAATGTCTGACGCGACTGAGAACTTCATTACTTTGAGCCCGCCGCCGAACAGTGCAGAACATCACTTCTCCGAGTGTTCACCACCTTGCCTTGGAAAGCATTGGTACTGAGGCCAAGGATGCCCCCCCACCCCCTCCTCTCCACACCCTTTCACTCGCAGTCTCTGTTGAGCAGTGGTCCAGAGCGGGTGCTGGTTGCCTTTAATCAGAGAGATGTATGGAGGGAGAGCATGGGCCTAATGACAATTAACGCATGTAGCTACAAGTTTTGGCTCTGAATGCTTTTAAATCCATCACCCAGCACTTGAGGTAGACACCCCAATTCATAACCATCCTCCCTGCTGTCTCTGCATTTTCTCTGCCCTGCTCAAAGAAAGAAATGATAGATTGAACTCTTAATAGAATGTATTGCTACACTTTATTTGGCTAATTAGACCGAGGTAAAACTAAGGCCTTTATGGCTTGACTGATAACCCTTGCCTCTTGTTTCTTTCCTCCCATCCATCCCTCTATCCCTCTCCTTCCTCTAGAGTGTTTTGTCGGTCCATGACACTGTTGCCCAGAAGAGTTACGACCCTGAACTACCTCCGCTGCCAGAAGACCTTGACGACGATGAGGATTCAGTGAAAATCATAAGACTGGTCAAGAACAAGGAACCTCTCGTAAGTAACTTTGTCAGTCATCTTGGCACATGATTTATTTGATTAGTACAAAGTGGTTTTCAGCAGCTCGCAGACGTTTGAAAGATGGTTATGGGAAGTTAACAGATTGTTGGGCCACAACATCCCTAAATCAAGTCCCATGTTGTTCCCCATCTCTGTTAGCTTTCAGTGAAGGTATAAAAATACTTAACTTACTCCAACATAAATGTATCATCAAAATCCTGATATCTAGGGTTTGCTCACTAATCCCTACATTTTTGAATACCTCTTGTATCAAAGCAGTATCCACACCACAAGTCAAGCCAATACCATACATGCTTTTGAGGTACTTGCCTGTGGGAATTCAACCCACAACCTTGAAGTTGTAAGTACACCAAAACCGACCACAATTACCCTGCTCTTGGCCATGAGTATTTTCAGCCAGTCTAGGCTCGGTGTCTGCGAACGCCTTCCTTTTCTATCCTGGTCAGTGTTCTCTCATTGCAACATGCTTCTCACGTCCGAGCTCTTCAGACATCGTCCCAGACGTCAACAACCACCCGTCTGTCTCGGCCTTGGGCCCCAACTGTACGGCAGCGACATCTTGGCTGGCATTCTCATTCTCCCTCCACCCCTCGGCACCCTGGGTGCCTGTATGCGTCATCTGATGGCTGCCGTTCTATGCATTCTCCCGGTCAGCTAGTGAGGGAAATTTGAGAATAAGCTTCTGTAACCCCACCAAACCTAATTGGCGCTGGCTTTGGTTGCACCACATACCTTTCTTTTTTTCGGTTTGCTGCATGATTATCTTTGTTTTCCACTGATGTGACTGCTCTCTTTACTGACCTCAGTGTCCTGCAACACATAAACACTCCACTACTCAAGTCCTTGATGGCCCGTCAGAGACCTCCATCTGTCATCACTTTGTTGTGTGCTGAGGCCCCGCCCATCTTTGATCTGTGCCGGACATATCCTGGCCGCGGCCTGCCTCTATTTTCACTTTGTGGTTTTCGCCCTGACCACCATCTTGGCTCCAGGCCGGCGCACTCCTCTCACCACACCCCGGGGGAAGGAGAACACACCTAAGCCATTTTTGGGATCCTGCCTGTTGCATGTTCTGCGGAGCTGCTGAACGTAATAATGTGGCCTGGAGGAATTCTCGCTCTCTCTCTCTCAACACACATTGTCGCGGGTGCTTCCTGCTCTGGCCTCTCCTGAGTCTGATGTTGGATCACATTCCCTGAAACCATAATGTGATTTACACCCGCCCCGGTCAACTTAATCATCTGGCTGGTGTTATTCCATTACAAGACTCGATTCTTTTTTGTCTCAGTAATTTGGCTCCTGAGAACATCAGAAACACACATTTATGATGTGTGATATTCTGTATTATTGTACATTATTCAAGGTGTTAATTATGTAGAATATACTTTTGTAGTAATATAGTGGCTCAGTTTTAGTTTATAGGTTAAGGGTGCACACTGGTTATTGTGTGTTTCAAAGTGACTGGATCTAAATAGAGAAGGTGCCGTGCCTCCAGTGTTCTTTAAGGGGTCAACGCTAGCTCAGTTTTATAAATACTCCTCCAATTTAAAAGAGGTTTCATTTAATGTGGCTGTCTGAATACAATATATCATCAGTATCACCGCAATATAGTTGCAACAGCAGCTTGGTTTTCTACCAGTATATTTAATTATGTTCACTCCCTTTAGACTTACAGAACTTGATTTATAGCAGGAACTCAAGTCATGATAACTTACAATGTGCATTAGACAACACACTTTGTTCATAAATGTAATAGCAACAGCCACTAAATGTGCTAGCAGAAACCAAATCAAACAATGTACAATGACATCTTACACATTGGAATAATGGAAATATACATACAACCCACAGCTGTGGAGGACCTTCTTCCATGTAAGCTGCCCTCTTACCGCCCATAGGACCCACAGGGCACAACTGCTGCCCATAATCTGCTGTGGCTATAATTTAGGCCTGACCGTGGTATGGACAACAGTAGGATTTTACAGCAGGGCATAGTTTTTTCTGTGTATGTATGAAAGAAAACAATGAGTACTAAAGGGCTGTTATTGTGGCAGCTGGCAGTCTCAGAAATGTAGTGTGGTTTATATTTGTTCTGGGGGCACATGGAGAAGGGCAAGTTGAATCAATTTAGAAAATTAGAACAAGATACTCTACTCTGTCCTCTTTTCGGGCAAGGAATCTCACAGAAAGACTCCCTATGTGGATCCTATTTGCATTCACACAACGTTGGTCAGAACCTATGGCTCGTCTGTCTTGTGTCCACTGAAGAATTAATTATTATATCCCGAGAGAATATGACTGGCATTCATGTAGTTCCTGTGGAAATGGAAGAAGAGCTGTAGTTATATACACTTATAGGGTCTCCTACATTCTACTGTGTAGCTAAAGGCCTTTTCACACCAAATGTATGCTCCGCAATTTGTCATTTTTATGCACATTAACCTTTCAAAAAAAATTTTGTAGTGAAACCTGTGAACATACTTTACTTTTTGGACTTTACAGCCTTCATGTATCTGTTCTTCTTTTTGCTGCTGCCATTTAGCATCATGTAGCTCTCTTTTTCTCCTAATGTACACAACTCTTTTTGTAACTCAAGAAAAAAGCATGTGTACCACCACCACCATCCTCCCCCTTATGCCATATTTTCACTTCTGAACCTGCTTGTCATACAATTCTTAGACAATAAAACTATTATTTGTTTTGGATACTTCACACAATTGGCTGATTTGTAAATGAATACAATTTTTTATTGATCGTTAAAGTTTTTAACACAAGAACAACATAAAAACTGGCTCTGAATAAAAATATAATTCAGTGTTTCAGCACATCAGCTCCTTCCTCTGTACACCGCATGCACACATAAATGTGCTGACATGGCATACGTCAGAATTTTGCACTTAGTGTCAAATGGCCCTAATAGCCCTAAAGCACTCATGTTACTTTGTCATTTGTGGAAGTGAAGTTTCTCTGATTTTGTGACCCTCTAATTTGACAGTAAATTTTACAGCTCTGCATCTGCCTCTGGCTCCCTGACAACTTGCCATCCTGTACATCTTTAAAGGGAAACTGACCCTAATGAACAGTTAGATCGTACATTAAGGAAACAGCCAGCAGGTCAGATGCTCACGGTGAAGTCACAGCCATTCCACTAACCAATAAAAAACCCTCTAATTGTGCAGGCTCCTCATTCACTGCCGCACCGAATTGATTTGGATGTGCCCTTTAACTCGCAATTTCATATAATCAGCCTGAAATTCTCAAACTTGACATCATAACAGCGCGGCTGTACAATATCTAATTTCCTTTCCGTCTCCTCTTACTTTACTCTCTTTTATTTTCTCGTTCACTTTTTTTCTGTGTGCCTTTGTCTCATTCTATAGTGCTGGACGTTGCAGGGACTGGGCTGTAGTTAACGCGCATTCCCCTTTCCTTGTGACTCATCCATTAAGTTAATTGTGATTAGTTGAGTGGATTGTATTCAGTAGCTGTGATTAATTGCTATCATTTCTCAGAGCGTGACTTCATGCCACATTTCAGTGAAACTGTAAAAACTCTATCTTCCAGGACAACCTCCCTCTTCTTCTTCTTCCCCCTTTTTCTGTTGTACTCCCTGCTCTCCCGCTGCTCTCCCAATCCGGCTGATTTATTAGCTCAACGGTTGGACAATGAAATAATTGGGTTCGGAGATCGGCATAAACATGTGCGCGCATACAGAAACATCAGCTCAGCCGTGTCTTTTTTTTATTGAAAGAATGTGTTATTTTGGATAGGGTTTCAGAACAGTTTTGGTGGGGGTCTAAATTTGAGCGTTAAGGGGGTCACGTCAGGGCTGAATATGTGGCGGTGTAGCTGATATACGGGTGAAGTTCGCCTCCGGTGATAAAGGGCTTGAGTGCAGACTGACTAATAGGAGAACTGTAGACAAAAAGTTGGAGGAAACCAGAATGCACTGGTGTTACACAACTCACAATCCCCTGCCAAAAAAAAAGGCTTGGAGAAGCGAAAGAGGCCTAAAACATGGGCTGCAAAAAAGTTATATAGTGTTACAGCTTTCATTTTTGTTAATGAAATATTTAATCACCGAATTCTCTACACTTAAGTGTCATTTTCTTGGTACTAGTGTAGAAAAATGGCATATTTTGACCATTTGTAATAATCATTGTATGAATTACTGGTTTCAAGGAAATTGACATTTCCTTGCTGTGGCTCCTCAAAGCAACGAAATCCCAAAGCATTCTGGAAAATCCAAATCCCAACACACACAAAACGCGTTAAGTAGCAAAAGACGACTTCGAACGCCCACAGAAGGGTACACCACAGCTGCTCGGGGTGACCATCGCTATGATGTGAGAACATTAGAGGCTGACAAGCCTGCTGCGGCCGGCTCTGTTCCTCTCATTTGGATGTTCTCGAAGCCCAGCGACGCAGATGTAAATAGCAGACCTGGAGATGCTCGCCGCGTATGCCCCGCTGTTTTCGCATTCGTTTTATACATCACTTGTCGGCTCACACAGTGCCACTCAGTCAGTGCCGGCTCTCGGCACTGTCAGAGTGCCGTACATTCACTTCTCCCCACTCAGTTCATCTTCAGTCGTAGTCCAGCTAGCACGCCATCTTTCTCTTTCTCATAGTCTCTCTTGCTTCCACTCTCTAATTCATTTCTTTCATCTGCTTTTGCAATCAGGCCCATTGATCATGTTCATTCTTGTGTATTTACGTTTTTGGTAACACATTTTGAAGGCAGGTAAAGGCATTAAAGGCTTTTAAGAGGTTACAACATAATTATACAGCATTTCACTGTCCTTCAGGTAAAGAGTTACCCCTTCTCTGGTTCACACCTGTTGTTCAGGACTGTAGATTTTTTGCACCTTTCTACATTCCTGTTGTACACATCTGCGAATTTGGCATTACCGGTGCAAAATTGACACTCTATCCATCCCTCTCTCCCCCAGTTCTTCCATCCCAGGTTGTTAGGC